GGAGTCAATCATCACCGACAATGCCGCCAACCTTAATAGTGATTTGATGAGATCCATGTGTGAAACATTCAAGATCAAGCATAAGAATTCCATAGCATACATGCCATAAATGAATGGAGCTGTAGAAGCCGCCAATAAGAACATCAAGAAGATACTAAGGAAGATGGTAGATAATCACAAACAATGGAACGAGAAGTTACCATTTTCCCTACTTGGATATCGCACCACGGTTCGCACATCAACTGGGGCAACTCTTTATTTGCTAGTCTATGGTACTGAAGCCGTCATTCCGGCTGAAGTGGAAATTCCTTCTTTAAGAATCATACAAGAGGCTGAACTCGGTGATGCGGAATAGATACGAAGTCGTTATGAACAACTGGCTCTCATTGATGGGAAAAGAATGAACGCAGTATGTCACGGTCAACTTTACCAGAACAGAATATCCGGAGCTTTCAATAAAAGGGTCAAGCCTAGACAATTCACACCAGGGCAGTTGGTGCTAAAGCGGTTCTTCCCGCATCAAGATAAAGCCAAAGGGAAATTTTCACCCAATTGGCAAGGGCCCTAGATGGTTCACAGAGTACTAACAGGAGGAGCGCTCATACTTGCAGAAATGGATGGAAAAATTTGGCCAAAACCTATCAACTCAGACGCAGTCAAGAGATACTATATTTAGATTGTTTACATTTCTTCATTTGATGTAAGTGAACTACGCTTGACCTGATTCCCATTTAAGACGTAGGCTGCCATGTGGGTTCAGTCACATCTCAATAAGATCTTCATTTTGCCATGGTCAGAAACTGGGGCAGAATTTTGAGGAGGACCCTCAAAATTCGGAAGCAAGTCCAGCCAACTTCATCATACACAGAACATTCAAAGAATTGCTTTTAAACTAGGGGCAGAATTTTGAGGAGGACCCTCAAAATTCGAAAGCAAGGAAGTTGCAATGTCTCTAAAATATGTCACAGTCATTGGTTCATCTAAATTACTTGATATTACATACTACTATATTTAAATAACTACATTCATCAAATGCACACATATATTTTCGAAAACTTTATAAACAACCAGATGCTGCCCAGGGTAACTCAAACAGGATCTTAAGACAGGAGCAAAAGCAAAGCGAGAAGGCGAAAGCATAGACCAATCTTCCCCGCAAACTCACGATATTTCTTTGGATGCAGGCACAATGAACATAACAGGAATATGCGCAAATACATACACACATCAGAATCGCTACCTTCATAATGACAAAGTTACCAAACGCAAACACATCTCCAGTTGAGAAATACTCTGCTTTCTCACTACCACTCATTGTTTTCTTGCATGAGGCTAAGCATTGCCTCCTTAACTACACAAGGCTAAGCATTGCCTTTCTTTGCATGAGACTAAGCATTGTCTCCTATTTGAGACTAAGCATTGCCTCCTTAACTGCACAAGGCTAAGCACTGCCTTTCTTTTCATGAGACTAAGCATTGTCTCATATTTGCATGAGGCTAAGCATTGCCTCCGTAACTGCATAAGGCTAAGCATTGCCTTTCTTTACATGAGACTAAGCATTGTCTCCTATTTGCATGAGGCTAAGCATTGCCTTTCTTTACATGAGACTAAGCATTGTCTCCTATTTGCATGAGGTTAATCCTTTCCTCCTTAACTACATAAGGCTAAGCACTGCCTTTCTTTGCATGAGACTAAGCATTGTCTCCTATTTGCATGAGGCTAAGCTTTGCCTCCTTAACTGCATAAGGCTAAGCACTGCCTTTCTTTGCATGAGACTAAGCATTGTCTCCTATTTGCATGAGGCTAAGCCCTGCCTCCTTAACTGCATAAGGCTAAGTATTGCCTTTCTTTGCATGAGACTAAGCATTGTCTCCTATTTGCATAAGGCTAAGCATTGCCTTTCCCGCATGAGACTAAGTATTGTCTCCCCTTCTTGCAAACGGCTAAGCACTGCCTTTTCCTCAAGATTAAATACTATCTCCATTACGCCATCTAAGACTTGGCATTATCCTCTACACACCCAGGGCTAAGCATTGCCCTCACCTTACCCAAGACTAACAACTCTATCGGTTTCGTTCGCCGCTAGATCTAGAACTACACAAGGCCTGATTCCCGTAACACCAGGGATATGTAGGCAACTGAGGGACCAGGGTTCGGCCTCCATTTAAAAAAAAATAAATCACCTCATTCGGTCAAAATCGGTCATCATTTTTTTTACACGACAACTCTTTCATAATTCCCGGGTAAAGAGGGACAGCTGTTGATACCCAATTTTGCCCTCATATATTTTTCAAATAATATGCATACTTTCAAAATATCATTTTTGCATTATTATTAATTTAAAGGATTTACACAAGCATTTCCTATAATGTTTCATAATTTCAGAGTTTTTAAATTAATATTTCTTGCATTAATTTACATAAAAATTAAGTAATCTCTCTTTTAAATTATTTGTGATGACTTAATCACCTAAAAGTATTATTTTCATGCCTAATACATTTTTAAAATATTTTTACCCCATTTTTTATATAATTACAATGGTATTTTTAGGCTATTTGCATAAATTTGCAATAATAGCCTACATTTTGCATTCTTATTGCAATTGATATTTCATTTAGGGTAAAAATAATATCTTACATTTTTTATAGTTTTCTATTATTATAAAGTATTAATTTTCATAAGTAGCATTTTTATATATTTATTTAGCTATTTATTTAAATTATGTTTCTTTTAATTTCTATTTTTTAAAGCTGGCCCAATTTTGAGTCAAAGTTTTGGACCAAACCAACCCAATACACTAACTCAATAACCCCAGCCCGAACCGGTCGCGACCCGCCTAGCCAACCCGACCCGACCCCTCTTTAAAATCCTGGTAGTTGATCTCTAAGATCAACGACCCACATTTAATCCTCCCTTTTAAATCACCCAAACCCAAACCCTAATCATATTCCCTCTAAATCCGCCGCCCTAAAACTCTCCCCCCTCTCTGAAGAACCCTAATCACCGCCTCTCTAAACCCTTTTTCTAATCCCTCTTCTAATGGGATTCTCTTCTCATTTACTTACCATATTTGTGTGTTCCTATTCCTAATACTTGACATTAAACATGCTTCTGCAGGATGAGTTCGATTTGCCTTGTTATTACTTTCAATATGAGGTGGACTTTTGATTTCAAATACTTGGATCATGATACAAAACTTGTTATGCTTAATAAACAAGTATCATTTAATACTTTTCAAAAGAAAATTAGTGAAGTTACAGATATTGATTCAACCAAATATTCACAAAGATATGGTTTGATATCAAACTAAATACAAGCAAAGGGATGCTTGTAACTTCAGATGAAGAACTCAGAACCTGTATACATTTTCTAACAACTGATTCAGCCTACAAGAATTTTCATTTTGTCGTCGAAAAAATACAACTCATTTCTGACAGTATAGCTGCTTCAGAATCTGCAACATTCAAACCATCTCTTACATATACAATAGATTCAGAATAAATTGCTGATTATCAACATGAACTAGAATAACCAATAATGGAAGTAGACAACGAGCAACAACCTTCTAACATTAGGCTGCTTCAGAATATATAATGCTGCAATAATTACCCACCGCTACAATAAATTCATACCAGTTTGTTGACGACCAAGAAGAAGAAGGACAGCTAATAATGCAAATAGACAACCAACACACGATCCAACAAAGTTTTTTGTTACCTTCTGCAATGACAAGCAACAACGAAGACGAAGAAAACAAAGAATTTATACCGATAACATCAGATACAATTGAAGAAATTGCTGAAACTTCTACTGCTTCTAAGAAATCAGAAAAAGAGTGAGGAGAAAGCTGAAAGAATCTCCACCATGTAAAATACTGAGGCACGATGCATTGCGTGAGGAAGTAAGAGTAGGATCAATTTTTGAGAACAAGAAGAACATTACTAAATTTTTTTGCAGCTTGGAGATAAACCAAAAAAATTGAATTGACTACTGTTAGATCATGTTCAAAGAGATACGAGCTGAAATGCATCGTGGAGAAATGTGGTTGGAATGTACGTGCTACCAGAATAAAACATTCCTCACTTTTCAGGGTGATAAAATATCATAACAACCATGAATGCTCGGTTGATGCAAGAAAATCATATCAGAAGCATGCCACATCAAATTTTATAAGTTAACAAATTTTAGAACATGTTCGAGATAAAAAGATTTAGGTTACACCAGCTTTTGTAGAAAGTGAAATGAAAAAGAAATTTGGAATTGACATTTGATATCACAAGGCATGACGCGCTATTCAAAAAGCTATTACTTGCATAAGGGGAACACTGGAATAGAACTACCACATTCTTCCTTTATACTTACACATGATAGTGCATAGAAACCCAGGAATGTACACTAGCATAAAAAGAGATGAGCAGAATCGGTAAGCAAAACAATACTAACCATCAGCCTGAAGTTTCAAATGTTCCTATTTGAAAAACTTCACACCTTATGATTTATTTTTTTGTGTTTAACTGTACAGATTTGCTTACATGTTCTTTGCTCCTGCGACATCAATGGCTGGTTGGTGCTACTATAGACTCGTGATTGCAGTAGATGCAATATTTTTAAAGTCAAAATATCATGGCGTTTTATTTGTTACTGTATCAAAGGATGCAAATAATCAAATCTTTCATCTATCTTTTGGTGTAGCAGATTCAGAAAACAATGATGCATATATTTGGTTCTTCACGAAAATGAGAAAAGCAATTCAAGTCCGTCGTGAACTGGTTTTCTTGTCAGATAGAAACCAATCGATCGCAAATGGGATTAGAAAAGTTTATCCTAAAGCTCACCATGGTATCTGCCTCTATCATTTTGAGAAAAATTAAAAGCAAAGATATGCATAAGCCACAGTAATAAATCTTTTTCAAAGCGCTGCAAGGTCATACAAACGTGAAGATTTTAATCAGTTAATGTCCCAAATCAAAAGTGTTGACAAGAAAACATACAATTACATAATGGAAAAGCCTCCAGAGAGATGGGCTCGATCGTCGTTCCCACGGCGACGTTATGATATGCTGACAACAAACATGGTAGAATCAATGAATTCCGTGTTACTAAAAGCGAGAGAGATGCCTATTTTAAGAATGTTAGATTTCATCCAAGAAAAGTTGGGAGAGTGGTTTTACGAACGAAGAAAAAAAGCACATGAAACTTTTCACAAAGTATCAATATGGGCAGAAGAAGAGATGTACAAGAAGGTGGACTTGGCTTGCAAAATATTTGTGAGTATATTTATTAACTTCAGAATTTACTTCAACGTGTTTTCTCTGATGTAATTAACTAATGCATAATCACTTCATCTTTTTATATCTACTGCAGTTATTTACTGGTTGCATATAAAAAACTTCATACTTTTTCTTTTTGAAGCAATAATACACTAATATAGTTTTTTTTTTAATTCTTTCTTAGGTGTTCAACCTTGATTCAATGTTGTTTAGAATAAATAGTGAAGGAATGAAATTCATTGTGGACTTAAAGAAGAGAACTTGTGACTGCTTGAAATTCCAACTTGATGAATTGCCCTGTCCACATGCAATTGCTGCTATTAATAAGAGATATTTGCAGAAATCTGATTACTGCTCAAAATGGTATTCAAGGGAAACATGGTTCGAAACATATGAAGGACATGTGAATACTGTGGCAGATCAAAATTCATGGGATATTCCACAAAATGTAGAATCTGAAATCACAAAATCTCCCGATGTAGAAATTTTACAAGGAAGAAGCCAAAAGAAGAGGCATATCCCTGCGACTGAATCAGTACCATTGAAATCTACCAAATGCAGCCGCTGTAAACAAATTGGGCATAACAGAACAACTTGCTTGTCTTCTACAGCACCTCATTCATATTCCAAGAAATACGCTGAAAAATACTCTAACGTTCAATAATCCTTGGTCTGAATTTTTACTTTCATTATTGAATGATATATGTGAAATGTGATTGTTTTTGTAGAAATTAAAAAAATAAGCTCTTGGATTGAAAAATACTCTTTTATAAATTTCTTGAAGTACAAACCACTCATTTTTGTTGTGCGTCTTACAGGTTTGGCTCCATTTTAAAAAAGTACGCAATGACTTCAGCGAGAAAAAACTGTAAGTGAAATACATATCTTTAACACACACACACATACAAAAAAAATATATGTATAACAAAACTTCAACATATTTAGATTGAAATTTTAGAAAATGAACTAAATAACTTCAGCATATTCTCTCTGAAGTTTGGAAAAAATTATTACAAAAATTACAAACTGCTGGACAAAACATAAGCATGTTTTGTGTGAAGTTTTATGAAATGAACAAAAATATTTCCGCATATATAAGTCTGCCTCTTAAAAGACTGGCTATTAACGGAAAAATGTATGTAAAAAACTACAGCCTATAAAGTGTGACTATCAAAAGCTATAAACTTCATATCAAAAAGGTTCAAGTTTCTAACTTATATTTGCTAACTTCAGCTTATAAGGCATGGAGTTTTATGTTGACATACTATGTTATTACATTAAAATCATAATGTAGGCTTCAAAATTTTAAAAAATTATACAAAAAAATGTAACAAGATTTTTATCTATATAACAACATAAATATTAACAAAACACGACCATCATCAAAACATTGACAAAACAAAAAGAAGAGCCATAAAAAATATTAACAAAAAACACAGAAGAAAAACATAGAAAAAGAATTACAAAAACTAAGCGTCATCACCATCATCAGAATAGTAATCTTTAATTTTTCGATATATCTCATCATCATCCGAATCAGAGATAACTATATGATACTCGGGCAAAAGACCACAAAGTCCAATGAGATCAAACTTCAACTTGTTGAATTCATCACGCAACTGACTTTGTTCAACTATTACTCTGTCTATAAGATAAGGAAGACTCTTCAAGCTGTTTTGCAGCTTGGCATAGTCGTCCCAGATGGGAAACTTAAAACAATCAAACTGCTGGACAACTTTGTCAAACGAGGTTGAATAACCTTCACAACTGCGTTCGAGTTTCGGCCTGTTTTGGAATGACTCATCGGCAAAAAACTGTGGTCTGATTCTTTCCCATTCAGCCTTTATTTGATCCAACGTTTGCATAAGATTAGCCATTAGTACGTTACTATTCCAATCAGACTTTAAACTCTCCCACTTCTGCATAAGTTCATCCATTGTAACCTTCCTATTTCCGCTAGCACCAGACATTATTTCTTTTAAAAAGCTAAAAGGCTAAGGATGAATATAAATTTAAAGAAATATGATAGAAGTCTATGGATGACTATGAAATTTTCAAGTGAAGAGATTGTTAATGTAGCCAAAGAGTGCACCTAATCAATTTAATTATTATATTAAAAGTGAGAACCCCATAACTTAAAAAGTTGAATTACCAAAATATTCTTCTAAAATAAATTATTTTATTAGTATAAAATAAATAAAAACATCAAATTTATTTGAAGAGATGCAACCCTTCAGATTAGTTACTACGTAATGTTTAAAATACTTCTTACCTGAATTCATATGTGCTATTTAATTAATTTATACTACTCTTCAGATAATAGGTCATCCAAGTATGATCGTGCCTTTTTGAAACCAAATAGAAGATAATTAAAAACTACTCATAAAATGGTCCTCCATGAGATTGAGAGAAAAAGGGAGCAAAAGCAAAATACAAAACTTCTCTACGGGCCAACACAAAACAATTGTTTTGCACTTCATTTGAGAGGGAACTAAAAAAAATGTGAATATTGGCATATCAAATTTTATAATGCAATCGTAAAAAGATTAAGTAAAGGAATGGGAGCAGAGGAACTGAAAAGAAGTTTAAGAAGATGAAGGAATGGGAGCACTGATGCGTCATTACAAAAAGAGACTACGGAGCGGCATTTGACCGTGCAAAGTTGGTTAGGAACGCGTCAAAAGACACGACTCTAAAGAGTTAAACACTGAAAAGGTGTGCGTGATATTGACAAGGACTCTATTCTGTCCGGCCCTTATTTGGACATATCGGAACAGTTTGATAACGGGTTTTATTTTTTCACTCAACTTATAATTTAGTTGTTGTTTTCTTCCGTTAATATTTTATGAAATACAGCTTTTATAGATGTTAGGGTGGATGATCGTGATCCCATAATATATTGTGGCTTGTATAAATTCTATGATTAGAAGCAAGAAAGGCTATATTACTTATTCCTTTGAGATATGAATCAGTTTATTGTCATACAATTTGCTGTTATGTGAAAGATTATAGTTTCAAGGTTAGTAAGACCTGGATTAGGTTTCATTAATACTTGAACATATTTTTGAGATTATGAAATAAATTAGGGTTACATTTAGACATAATTTAAACGTTGGTGAACTTTTATTATAAATTTTTAATCTCTTGGGTGAAGACCAAAATAACCTTTATAATATATATTTTATATTTTAACAATTATATTATGCAATAATTAAGTAAAAACATTTAAAATATAGATTTATCATGTTTCTCCAAATAGTTATGATTTTCATTAATAACTAAATTTTAAAGAAATTATTTAGTTGTTAGCCATTAAGATTTTTTCAAGTAGTTAGTTATTTTATTAAACGGCACAACTCTTTGAGAGAGAAAAGATATAAGTTTTTGTCTATTTATAGTAATATGATTATTAAATAATACTATTATATATAACTGTGATGACCCAAAATGTCATCTTTAAATTTAATAAGTAATTCTGTGTTCTAAGACCTCGAAAAGCACCATTTATCATTTCTCGACTTGTGTGCGCAGTCCGTAAAATTTTTCGAAAAGTTTTAATGTGAAAAATAAATTAAAATGTGAAGTAGAGCTTTAAAACTCAAGTGAGTTGACTTTGGTCAACATTTTTAGCAAACGGACCCGAATCAGTATTTTGACAATTTCGGTAGGTCCGTATCGTAATTTGGGACTTGGGCGTATGCCCGGAATTAAATTCCGAGGTCCCTAGCCCGAGATATGGAATTTTGATAAAAATTTAAAAGCTTGAAAGCTTAATAATTTTTTAAGAAATTACTGATGTTGGATTTATTGGCCTCGGGTCTGTATTTTTATTCTGGAGCCCGATATAGGTCCACTATAATATTTATGACTTGTCGGAGAATCGGAGTTGATTTGACGTGATTCGGACGTCCGGTTGTAATATTCTTGAAAATATCTTTTGAGTTGGCGCCCGATTCGTAGTTTTAGGTGTTATTTTGGCGATTTGATCCCGCGAGCAAGTTCGTATGATATTTTTAGACTTGTGTACATGTTTGGTTTGGAGCCCCGAGAGCTCCGGTGAGTTTTGGATAGGCCACGGACATCGGGGGGAAAAGCCTTCGCGAATGCGAAAGCCACGGACTGCTACTCATCGCGAGCACGACATGCCCTTCGCGAACGCGAAGAAGGCCTGACACCTGTGACTTAAAATAGAACCAAAATGAGATTTTTCCCATTTTTCACAAACCCTCAATTAGAACTCGGCTTAGGGGCGATTTCAAAGGAGTTTTTCACGATTTCGAATTGGGTAAGTGTTCTTTATCATATAGTGATTGTATTTCGTAAATCTAAATCTATATTCATCATTTATTTCAGATTTAGATGAAAGAAATTGAAATTTTTATAAAATCTTCCAAAAACTAAAATTTAAGATTTGAAGGTCCATTTGACATCGAAATTTGATAAATATTGTATGGTTGGACTCGTATCGGAACGGGTGTTCGGATTTCGTAAGTTTTTTCGAGATTTGAGGCGTGGGTCCCAATGTCGAATATTTTAATGAATTTCGAATTTTTATCCGAAAAATTAGTAAATTCATATGGAATTAATTCATATTATTCGTATTGAATATATCGAATTGTTTGTGAATAGATTTTGAAGCTTTTGGAGACAAATTTAAAAGGAAAAGTTGTGGTTGAGTAATTGATTGAAATTTGCAATGCGATGTAAGTGTCGTGGTTAACCTTGACTTGAGGGAATAGAACCTTTAAATTATTTGTTATGTGAAAAGCATGTGAACGACGTATAGGCGAGGTGACGAGTGTCTGTACGTCGTGAAATTAATTATTTGCCTTCTTACTTGAAAAATCATAAATTATTTTAAATCATAAATTAATTATTATAATAATCATTTCTATCATATTCTTTGACAAATATTAATTCTTGAAATCATGCATTAGTTGTTACACGCTATTTGAATTATGTGCTTTAATTGTTATTTGACATTTAACATATTAAACATTAAACTGCCTATTTTCTCCTTGATTCCCATAATAAATTGCTATTTGTCATTGTTTGTTTCATAATTAAATTATAATTATTGTATGCTTGTTGTCTTATAATTTTATATTAATTGTTGCATTTATTGGGGAAATTGCTTCGATAAGAATTGATTGAAATAGATATATTGGAGGATCGGGTTGCATACCGCAACAGACTTATTAAAAGGTCCATATCGGAGGATCGGGTTGCGCGCCGCAACAGACTTATTAAAAAGTCAATATTGGAGGATCGGGTTGCACGCCGCAACAGACTTATAAAAAGTCAATATTGGGGGATCGGATTCTACGCCGCAATAGACTTTTTTAAAGTCAATATTGGTGGATCAGATTGCACGCCGCAACAGACTTATTTAAATGTCTATATATATACTTTTTTGAAATAAATATATGACAGACTTGATTAAAAGGAATATATTGGGAGAGCGGGTTGCACGCTGCAACAGAATTGAATGTGAATATATTGTGAGAGCGGGTTGCACGCTGCAAAAGATTTGGGTGAAATAATAATGGATTATGACTACTGAATTGGCTTCAATTATTATAAATGAGTTACCTGATTTATTTCTATTATTTGTTGTTGTTATTAATATTGCGTACAGGTTAATGTAAGCGAACAGCCTTTGCC